TCTCTCTCTCTCTGTGTGTGTGTGTGTGTGTGTGTGTGTGTGTGTGTGTGTGTGTGTGTGTGTGTGTCTGATGGGGATTTTGGCTCGATGACGGCGACCACGTGCACATGGCAGGAGCAGCCACGACGACAGCAATGGGGGAAGTGCTGCAATGATGACGTCAACAGCTCGGCGCATTCCAGCGGGGTGAATGGCGGGCGGGGGGAGTTTAGATTCGAACAGACCTCGTTCCCCAACTTCCCCCCAAAAACGAGGCCACACCAAGACTGCAGAGTCCAGAGCGAACGAAAAAAGGAAAGAATCTACAACCTAAGAAGCGCGCGTCCGGCCGTGTCTGCAGAGGCCCAACGGGTCGAAAAATTACCATAGACAATTTTCTGGGGTCGGCCTCGACCCAACAAAGGGTCCAGGCCGACCCATTTAAGAAAAAAAATCCTCTGGATTTGGCACCTTCCGGACCCTCTGGACCGTACGTCCGTGCGGACATGGCACTCTGGACTGTCCGGAACTCGTTCCGGATGTCCGGAACGTAACCATGATAAAAAATGATAGTACACCATTTTTTAATGAAATTCCGCACTAGGCTTAGAAGAAACCACAGAGACAAGAAAGCAATTGAAAATTCAAACCCAGAAGACAAATAGCCCCAACTCACGCCAAGGTAGGTCAGAAATGCTGCAGTCAGTACAATCTCACATAGAGGCTACGAGACACATTATAATGATGGGAGATTGGAACGCCACCCTCGAACCAGGTAAAGACAGATTGATGGGAGGAAGATCAGGAACCGGGGAAGAGTTGTCGGGGGACGAGGCGATGCCAATCCACAGCCTCATGTCGTCCTGGGGCCTCATCGATCCGTTCTGGCTACAGTACCCAAATCAGAAACAGTTCACCTACTATAAAAGAAATCGCAGTCAGCATATGTCAGCCTCCAGAATAGATTACTTCCTCGTTTCGGAGGAATTAATAGGGTCTCTTCACTCGGTACAAATAGGGGATCTGCTATACTGTACTTGCTTGGATCACAAACCCATAATTCTAGAGCTGGTCATAAACAAGCACATCCAGAGGGGCAGAAGTTTTTATAAGGTGAATAACTCTTTGCTGAAAACGCCGGAACTGAGAGAGGCCATACTGCAGGTTTGTTTGTCCCATGACAGTGACTCTCGATCGTTCACTGGTCTAATATCCGCACTGTCGGGAACAACATCAGCAGTGGCTAGGCAACTAGCAGCTAGAAGGAAAGCCAGGGAACTAGAACTGCAGCAAGCCTTTTTTTTTTTTTTAAACGGGCCCAGTGCCCAGGGCTGATATTATCAATAAGATGATTGAGGCCGGGGTCCTCACAGTCTACCCGGAGTAACCGAACCCAGCTTGCTGAGAACCGGGCTCAGTGTCCCACCTCTGAAGCTTATGATTATGATGATAGTAAATGCTGAAAGAATTACTGCTGATGATGATTAATATATCAGCCCTTCTGACCTCCTTGTATCAGGACATTGTAATCCAGGCACAGAGATGTACGAGAGAATAATAGACTCAGCAAGAAAGGAATTGGGAGATTGGGAACGATGGAGGGCTAGGGGTTTGCTGTTGAGAGCGAGAGTAAAAGAGTGGGAAGAGGGCGAACGAATGACAAAATACTTCTTTCAAAAGATTAAAACTAGGGGAAGGAATTCACAAATAGATCGGCTAGAGGGCCCACAGGGCATAGTGTCCGAGCCGGAGGGGCTGTTGTCAGTAGCTAGCAACTTCTACAGTTCACTATATAAGTCTAGAGAGGGGGATCAGGAACCCAGACAATTTAAAGAAGTCCGAGACAAGTTCCTAGCTTATTTAGATTGCACGGTGAAGGGGGATCAAACACAAATGCTGGAAGCCCCACTCTCACAGGAAGAGTTAAGAGAAGCCTTGAACACAATGCCTCCGAACAAGACACCAGGTAGGGATGGACTAACAAGGGAATTCTGGCAGGAATATTGGGAAATCCTGGGAGGGGAATACGAAGCCTTTTTGAACCAAGCGTGGAACAAGGAAGGTCTGGGGTTAGAGTCCTCGACAGGAATTGTCACCCTCCTATACAAGAAGGGGGATCCCAAGGATATCAGGAAGTATAGACCAATTACGCTACCGACACTTACACACAAGATAGTGGCCAAAGCACTAGCTAATCGCTTGAGAAAGATAACAGGCAGATGCTTTCACCTCGATCAGACAGGCTTTGTCCCTGGGAGATTTATTCTAGACAACGTCATGACTCTATCAGAATCGGTCAGATATATAGCGAATAAAAGAATAAATGCGGCTATCCTTTTCTTTGATTTTGAAAAGGCATACGATCAGGTCAACTGGTCCTTTCTACAACATTGCATGGAGAAGATGGGAGTGGGTCCTAACTTTCGCAAATGGATAAGAGTATTGTATAACGATTCTTACGGTCAAGTGCAGGTCAATGGCGACCTCTCAGAAAGATACAAAATGACTAGGTCGGTCAGACAAGGCAACCCCCTGGCAGCCCCTATTTTTCTGTTTATTATGGAAGCCATAGCCTCAT